ATATAGTTTTTAGAAATATTTAGTTATAGTTTGTTAAAGAAAATAAAAATTTTCTTTAGCAGAATTTTGGTACAAGTGATCGTCGGGAAGAGTTAGCAATTTGTGTCCGATATTTTAAATTTTGAATAGTCAAATCAATTAATTAAAAAATGCAATATTATATATAACTTTTTTAAATCTTCATATCAAGTAGATATATAATTCTATTTTTCTTTAATTTTAAAATTTATTTATTATATTAATTATTATAATAATTATTTTAATAAATTTTATATATTAAAGGAGCTAAATTAAGATCTTTAATAAAAATAATGAATATAGTTAATAAAAGTCTTAAAAATTATTCAAAAACAAGATAAACAACTGCAAGTAATTTAATTGAAAATATATTATATTTAGAAAAAGTTTTAAAAAAGATAATAAATTAAATTTTATAATATTATTAATAATTATTAATAAATTATTATTATCTTTAGATTGTTGATGATGAAATATTAACAAATAATCAAATTAATTCTATTATTAATCATTATAAGTTTTTATTAATTTAAAAGTATTAAATTTTATACTATTACCTTTAAAAAATCAATTTTATTATTAGAAAATAAAAATGCAAGTCTTGGAGATTGTTTTTTAAGTTTAGTAAAAACAAATGTAACAATTAAAAAATACCAATACAAAAAATATATACTGGATTTTGACAATATTGTTTCAATATCTTAAATAAATGATTTGAAGAATTTGATAATGATTTATATATATTAGGATATTTTTTAATGCCAAATTTTCATAATAAGTATAATTTATAGAAAAATTTTATTTTGATTTAAATTAAAATAACTTTTTTTAAAACTTAAAATTAGTATAGATTATTAATATTAGTCAAGTTTTTATATTAAAAAATTCTAATTAGTATTAATATAATTTTGGTCTATACTAATACTAAATTTTAGAAAAAGTTATTTTGATTTAAATTAAAATAAAATTTTTTTAATTTATATTTAAATTTAAAAATTATTTCTAATTTTATTTTATATTTTAGATTTAGGTTTTAGAATAGGTCAATTTTCTAGAATTATTAAGATTATTGGTTCTATTTGACAAAAATTTGGAAAAGATTATGCAAGTTGTAATATTTTAATTGCTCATCTTTGATTTTATAAAGAAAAAAAATATCTATATGATGCACCATATTCTCAAGATTATGATATTCTTTTAACTTAATGGAATACAATTGAACCAATACCAAATTATCTTCAAGAATTAGCATTAAAAGTTTTGGCAATTACTCCAAATAGTGTATCATGTGAAAAAAATTTCTCTTTATTTATTTGGCTAACTGAAAATAGATAAACACAAATAGATATTCAAAAATTAGAAACTATAGCAAAATTATATACATATTATAATTCTAATACAAAAAAGAACTTTTTTATTTTGCAAATGAAATGACTGAAAATGAAATTTTTAAAATATTAAATCAAATAAATATTGAAAATTTTGAAAAAATATTAGAAAAAAAAAATTAGATAAAGATGATTTATTATTATATGATGATTTAAATTATAATGAAATTAGTAGAATGTCTAAAAATGATTTAGTTTTATTTTTAAAAACAAATTTAAATTTAGAAGATGAAATTTTTATTAATGATTTAGAAAAATTTCCTGATAAAGAAAATAATGAAAATTTATTATTAGAAATTAATGAAACAATAGAAAATATTAAAACTAATAAAATTTTAGAAAATATTGCGCAAATTTTAGGACAAGATAATTATAATTGGGAACCTGATGATTTTTTAAATTTAAATAATGATTAATAAATAAATATTTATTTAAAATTTTAGATTAATTTTTTATAAAAATTATATATTTTATAATTTAATTAAATAAATAAAAAA